TTCAGATCTAATTGCTGCAGATATTGTTTCCATAAAAAAGTTTTGTCCGTTCCACCATAACCATAAACAAAGAAGACACCTCCTTTATTTTCTTGAATAACACTCATGATGTTTAGCAAAATGTTACGTTGCTCATTTGTTAATGAAAGAAACATACGATCATAGTCATTCTTTATAACGGGAATATCATAATCTAGCTCCTCGGTGATAAGTCGATTGTTTGAAGAAGAAACGGATTCAACATCTGGGTATGGCATGTTTTTGAAGTTTTTGAGGATAGAGTTGTTTCGAAGTAAAATTTGTTCTATTTCGAACAAAGTTAAGTTTTTAAGTTCATCTACTCCGATGACAATTCTGCACGAAAATATTAAATAATTAATAAAATATGTGTTAAATATTTAATAATTTTATTACTAAATATTTAATGGGTGTTGGATAATAAAAATAAATTAATCTAAAAAAAACATAAGAAAAAAATGCAATACCTGCAGACTTAAATCTTTGTCGTTGGTTATATAGAATTTCATATGCCATATATCCCATGTATTTTCCCAAACGACCTTGGTTTAGACATACTATTACACATCAACAATGTAGAAAATAAGAAGCGTAGATAAAAACCAGATCCAGAATGACTTGCTTCTTTAATTGCCTCAATGTATTCCTTGTCATCATCTAATAGCCTCAGTGCATAACAAGCATCTCTAAAAGAAGAATGTGTTTCACCATTTACCGTGCGAATATCATCAAATAATGTTGGACCTTTTACTTTATTTAAAAGAATCCTTAAGAAATATGCTTCACCTAGTTTAGGTGAAACCGAATGAATTCTACCGATGGTTTTTCCTACTTTCCTTCGCTTCCAAAACCGACCATTTGATACCCAAACAAACTTTGTAGGAAATTCAACATATGTGAGTTTCCGTGCTTCACTGTCGATTGAATTACAGTTCATCCAAGATGTGAACTTTGAAGCCGCAACAGAAGGTTTGTCAAGAACATCATCAATATCATCGTCTTCGCCATATACAATCTGCTGTTGATTAGGAAGATGAAAAGGTAGTCTGAGAACAGAAGGATATCTGCAATGAACATCATATTTAAAAATTCGCCATGATGCTTCACATGCTGATAAATATCTACAATCGTAATATTCAGCTATTTCATCGACCGCATCGTTATTTTCACATTCATTGTTGGTTGGTACAATAGCAACTGTAGCTCTATCAGGACCCTTATTTATGTATTTAAACAAATACTTTATAGAAGATCCCTGATTGCACCATTCAATATTAATATGTGCCTGGTATCTTTTCAATAGATATTTGTTGTATGGAACAACATTTCTATTATCCAACCTTACACCTGATTTTTCAACAAAATGACCATCGTTTCTTCGCCTATATAACGGAAAACCATTATGATCAACAGAAGAATGATTACAGAATTTTTTGGAAAGTTTTTAGAACACCTTTTATCCACCATGCATGGACAATTCATATTTTCAGCTCCACATGGACCATGAATCATAAACTCATTCACAAGTGAATACAATTCAGGATCCTCAATTCTGTCTGGTATCTCTGCTGAAATTATTGGATCGATACATTCAACACTTGGTAGCTTGTTGTCAAAATGCATGAATAGACATATATGACTATGCGGCAAACCTCTTTTTTGAAATTCAATGGTATAAACATATGTAAAAGAATTTGCCAAAAAAAGAAATGTAATTAGATTTTAAAAAATATTTAAAATATATTAATAAGATCAATGTTTTACAAAAAATTAATAAATATATTTTTAATTACATGCTTGAACTTTGCCGAAAATTTGATTCTCCCTTAAGTCTTTAATGAATGCATCAAGCTTGATCTTGAACAACCTACATAGTATATCAGGCTTGTCTTCTGGTTGAAGTGAAGTATCCTTAAGAAACCTTTTAATCTCAGGCCATTTGGGATTACACGTAAAGGTTATGAAGAAATCAGGATATCCAAACCATTTACATAGTGACATGGCATCCAAATAGTTTTGCAGCATATAGCGCGCACCACCGGTAAAGGACGAAGGTAATATGACACGTTGGCCGACATTCGAGATATCAGTCGTTCCCTGAGCTTTTTGGTTGCGTAAATTTTCATAAGAATCACATCTAAGAACATGTTGTTACCTACGTATGTAGTACAATCTCTCTGTTTCCATCATAGTATAGGCATCTACCAGAAACTGTTGAAACAACCTTTTTGAATTAAGTATGAGAGAGAACGAATGATCTCTATCTTGAATCCTATAAGCGAAATATTCTCTCATTGTACATTTCGCACGCTTGCTATTGGTCGTAAATGACACACCTCTATGAAGAATGTCAACACTGTAACCATCATCCCCATATGGAAATAGCAATGGATATTGAGAGGAAGGTACGAAGGATGCAATTCACTGATACGTTGTAGAGAACCATTTTTTGTTTTAACGACGATGTCCCTCTTTTCGATTCAATCAGAAATGTCACCAATAATTAAAGCAGCAACCTCAGAAGCAGTCGGTAGGTTATATGTTCTTCCATCTTGCTCCCTTCTCCCGATAAGTCGTAATTTCATATTAACTTCTGGATTTTTCTGAAAAGTATCTCTTACCATCCTATAAGATCTAACCAAGACATTATTTGAATCCAACATCACCTTAATATCTTCAATAATATCACTATCAATTGATGTTGATTGATCCTTTTTCGCCACTAAAATAAATAAATTTATACATAATATTATTATAATTATATATATATATATATATTAATAATAATAATAAAAAATTATGAATAACAAGTTTGAAAACAATACCGAAAACATCTTTGTCTATTTGTAATTTCGTTGTCAGTGTCATAAATGTATAACTGAGAGAATTTTGGTTCAGATCTTTTTGCTGGTAAAAGACTTCCAATACTATGATAATTTTGACCACCCAATCTGAAAATGTATGGAGCGTTTCCTCTATTGATTGAAGAATCAATTTTACCACCCATCGATGTAAAAGAAAACATTGAATTGTAACGTCGAATGTTCTTCATGAAGTGTTTGCTTTTTGAATCCATATTTTGGAACATTTTTTCATAAGTCGGGGGTGCTTTCTTTAAATCTGGAAGTTGAATTTTGCCGTAAGCACAACATAATGAATAATCTGTGTTCCCGTTTTCTTTACCTCTAATGGATTCATTTCTCCATAACTTTGCATGACATGTTTGACATACAACATTTTGATCACCATGATCCAAATATTCTGTCAAATAAAAGCATTGAATAAAATATAAATGAATTTTATAAGTATATACAACATAGTATTTGAAACGTAAAATGGATATTATTTTTTTGATTACCATTTGAGATACCAACTATAAGATTTTCATTGGTCACGTGATGCATATTTTCTACTCTTCTGTCAAATCAATCAATGGGATAGGGGAATAAATGTCTTGTCTTCGTTTTTAATCTATGACATCATGGATTTAACTTGATTGATGATGAAGAAGTGGTTACTGTAGATGCATTTTTTGATGTCATTTCATTTGAAAGTACATAGTACTGTCTTCTGTTTGGTATTTTGTGATTGGCATATTTATCGATATTGATGTTATCTAACCAAAAGAATTTATAATTAGTATAATAAGTATATATATATATATATATATATATATATATATATATATATATATATATATATATATATATATATATATATATATGTATTATATACAAAATGGATAATAGTATATTTTAAAAACAATAAATAATTACCATTTGTAATGTTAGATAACGGATTTTTAACATTTGTAATGTTAGATAACGGAGTTCTAACATTTGTCAAGGAAGGAGAGTATTGTATCGTTGTAGTATGCATTCCAGGTGAAGTAAATGAATTGACATTTTGAGTTTGCCCAACAATGTTGGTCGATTGATCTGCAAATAACAACAACTTATAAAACGTTTAAAGATATGTATAAAACAAAGTAACAGTAAAACATAAAATATAAAATAATAATAGGATGTAGTTAATTATATTATTTAAGAGATGCAGTATTGATGTACTTGGAACGTTCAATGTTGTTTTCATTTTCTTCGATCTTTATTTTCCAAATATATTTTTCTGTCTTCTTTTCTCTCGGGCTTGCATGTGGTACACGTTATTCTTGTTTTTCTGCATAAGAACACATAGATACGATATGAAATGTGAAATTAGGTAAATAATATGATTATATAATAATTTGGAAGGAATAAATAAGCGTACCTTTGTAAGCATCGGTTAGCAATTTAGAAGAATATTGATTTGCAGGGGACAAGTACTTGACAAATTATCTATTTTTTATGTGAATATATATGTTAAATATTTAAATAAACTTGCTTTTACTTAAAAAATAAGAAAAAATCATGATAAAGTAAATTTATTTGAAAAGTTACCTTTGTTAATTGAAGTATTAACCGTTGTACTTTTGAAGTATTAATTTTTGTAGTCTTTTTAGAACGGAAATGCATTGTATGTCTGCAACGTTAAAAGATAAATAATATTATTTTAAAAATTGAAATATTTAAGAAATATCAAATTAACATTATACGATGGATTATATAATTTTTTATGTATTTGTTTAATACAATGGTTTTGTAAATCTATAAATATAAATTTATTGATGTATTATTTTATTAAAGAATAACTCAGTTTAAATCTTTTTAAGATTTTAAATAATATAAAATCGAACTTTATATTTTTTATAATTTATTTTTTTTATAATGTGTACAAGTGTATTTAATTAAATATATTAAAGTTAACATGACTTTTGGTATATGCAAATCTAAATATGGATCGAAGGGATCCAAATAATAGTCAATATCCAC